AGACTTTGAACTGTTCTTTGACGCAGCAGCCTCGTTCTCCTGCGGCCGCGTTCAGCCATTTCTTTAAAATCTCGTCAAACACAGAGGGTTCTGGATAAGTCTCTTCTCATTCTCGAGTGAAATGATGATAAATGTCAAGTTGGATTGACGTAAAAGGCGCATGAATTCCAGTCCGACTGTTCACTGTTCGCATTGCTGCATATCGGAGACATATCAGATTTCAGTACCACATATGAAAGCGTCTCAAATCAGAATGGAAAATGTCATTCAGTGTTTTTTGCTGTTCTCACTGATACACAGACAACACATCTGTGTCACACATGAAGAAAAAGATCAGATTTGGGCCACTTTTACCTGCTCTGTGAACAAAGCCTAAAAGACTGAAAGGGCCATAAAATCATTGCAGTGGCAGAGGAGGCGAGTCTAGTGATCCTCCCCCAGTGGGAGACAGCAGTCCTCGGTCTGAAACACGTAACGGGGTGTGAGCAGGTAGGCCTTTATTAAAGGAAATAGTTCTATATAGAACCATAAACATGCAAAGAACCCTTTGCATGGTTAAAGAGTTAGGGTTCTTCAGATTGTTGGAAATTTCTTCTATAGACGTCTATATAGCACCTAAAAATGAATCCTCTACTGCTACAACACTCTTAAAAAAGACGGTGCTTGAAGCATTCTTTAGAACCATAGACACTCAAAGAACCCTTTTCATGATTAAAGGGTTCTTTGCATCATGAAAGTGTTCTTCAGATTCATGAGGAATTTATTGTGGGTCGTTTTATATAGAATCTTTTTGAAAATGGTTCTATGTAGCACCCAAAAGGGTTCTTCTATTGTTATGCTGTCAGACATGTAAAAGAACCAATGTGGGTTACTATATAGAATGCTTTTTCAAAACGGTTCCATGCAGGACCCTCTATAGCACACTCATGCACATTTTCCTTCAATCCAAAGAAAATGTTCATGATGCAAAGAACCCTTTAATCATGCATGAGTGTCCTATGTAGATGGTATATATAGAACCATATATAACCAATATAGAACCATTTCCTTTATTAAAGAGCCCTTGAAGAACCATTGTTTTTAAGAGTGAAGGCCTGATGTGTCTAATATGGAAACAACAAAGGTATTTTGAGAGGTGTAACAGGGAATGGTGTGACAGGCTGCATTCAGATGCAGGAGTGTTTGCTGCAAAAAAAATCTCCAACTGAATTGTGAAGAATCCGCCTGTGACAAGTTCTGCAAGGTGGAGAAGGAGTGGAGCAGATCTTTATGGGCGGCATTACTGGCAGAAAGTTCAACACCTCATCACACAGCTCACTAAATAGAAACTAGCACTCATTGTGCCTCTTTCTGCAATCCACCAGATTTAATTCTTCCCAGGAGCGTCGGCTGGGCGTGTAAAGATCCGGGGCTCAGCCCAGGTCATATCATCTCTCTCTCTCTCTCTCTCTCTCTCTTTCTCTTTCTCTGTTGCGTGCTGTCTTTCTTTCTGTTTGCTGTGAATTTGTCCCTGAATAATATCATCAATAATATCAATAATATCAGATCATGTGAACAATCCTTCCTACTCAGCAAGTGTCTTGAACACCATAACCTGCAAACAGACTCAAGATTAAAGCGAATTACCCTCCAAGCTACAGTGGTGAGGGGCACTCTTCTTCTGTTTTCAAGGTTTGTTAAACTTTGTTGATATCGCTGTACTGCATGGTGCATAAGATACTGAATTAATGTTTATAAATAAAATAATGTAATATTTATACGCTTCGCTGTCTGAACACAGCCTTAGGGTCCATTTACAGCACTGCTCCAGTGTCTAAGAAGAGTGGTTTTCTTACATCACCAAATGGAGACGGTACGACAAACGGAAAATAAAATACTGTGAATAAAGGATGTAACTAAATTTGTAATTCATTGGTACATACATGTATAGCCTTCTATTAAAAAGTAAATCGTGGGGCTCCCGAGTGGCGCAACCGTCTAAGCGTTGGCCCTGTCATCAGGAGATCGCGAGTTCAATCCCTGGTGATGCTACAGCCATCCGTAGCCGGGAGTCCGAGAGAGCACAATTGGCCTCGCTCTCTCTGGGTGGGTAGGATGGCCCCTCCTTCTCCCCCCATCACTCAGCGCGATGCTAGTCAGCGCAGGCGTCTGTTAGCTGACGTAACAGATCTGGCGGTTGGCGCTTTCCTCCGAGCGCGTTCGGCTGTCCAGTGATGTAGCGTGAGCGGCAGTTCGAAAAGAAGCGGTGGTTGGCTTCACAGGTCTCGGAGGAAGCCTGTGTTAGCCTTCACCCTCCTAGCATTGATAGCATTGTGTGATTGGGGGAGTCCTAACTAGCGGGTGGAATTGGAGACGACTAAATTGGGGAGAATCGGGTAAAAATAAAAAAAAATAAATAAAAAAATAAAAAGTAAATCATGTTTTTTCTCAGACATCAGATAATCTTACATACCTCAATGACAATCTGAACAACTCATAAGTCTCCAAGATGTAAAGTAGCCGGATAAAGTGTGTTTTGCTCATGTTGACGCAGCAATGCTAATACAAATTTCTATTGTTTTATACCAGAAAAGTTAGCTGAAGCAGGACAAATTAGCACACACTTAACTAGCCTAACTAGCAAGCTAGCAGATACCCAAACTGTGCTCCACAAAGCTCATGGGCAAACATAGAGTAGAACTGCTTGGGCCACAGCTACACAGCTATCTCTTCTCTTTGCTGTAGTAAATTTGATCTCAACATTTTCATACTGCATGTACTGCGCTGGTGTCTCAGCTGGATGCACTGGAACACAATGGCATTGTGCCAATCATTGGAAACCAAAATGTAATAGCCAAAGCAGGACAAAGTAGCACACTAGCTTGGATGCACTGGAAGTTTACCGAAGTTTAAAAAGTTTAAAAAACCTTGGAAAACAGAAGATGAGTGCCCCTCACCACTGTAGCTTGGAGAGTAAATCACTTTAATCTTGGGTCTTTTTGCAGGTTGTGGTGTCCAAGGCACTTGCTGAGTAGGAAGTATCATTCACATGATCTCCATGGTTTTATTCAGGGACAAATTGCTAGCAAGCTAGCAAATATCCAAACTTTCTTCTTCTTCTCATTTATCAATCTTTGGACAATGAATGGTACGTTCACATTGCACAACAGCTTGTAGCATGCAGTAACTCAGAAAAGGGTCTCTAACCCTGCCTCTGTCAAATATATTAACCTGCACGTCAAATTCAGTGTTTCTATATATGTTTTTCTATGTAATACAGTGCAGAAATATGGTTTGTTTCCTGATTCTGAGTCGCCCTTTTCCATTCCATCTTATGGCGAGATCTGAGGCTGTGAAACTGCCTTTCATCAAGTGTAATTGGTGGACTTGTGTGTCTGTCTACATTTCGTGTTAAACTGACCAGCAGACACTTAGGAAATCATTAGGGATTGACCCATCACCTTCATTCTTCATTCAGTCAACATCAGAGACACTTGTGAAATGGTGTACAAGGAGTTTACAGCCGCTGAAGCTGCTGCAGCAGTTTTGGGAAGCAGTGATCAAGATAACAGCACATTTTGATATGAAACATATGGATATCATGTTATATGCAAAAGCCTTTAAAGGTGAATTTAAGAAGATAAATCGAGAAATGACATGACATGTTTTGCCACTGCTGAAGAAAAACTTGCATCGAGATCCGATAAGATTGGCTCACAACTTACAAACGCTGATTTGATTGGCCAGGCCAGGCACACGCTGTTACCCAATGACAAACAACAGAGGATTGTGATCTCGTCTAACTTTTCAGGAGGCCCAAGTTAGCATTAGCTAGCAGAGAGGGGGACTCAAGTCAGCGACTTAGACATTTCATGTTGACTGACTCATGACTCAACTCAGACTTGAGACTAAGAACTCATTTACTGCCAGTTCTGTCTTGAAGGCTTATCTGTAATTAAAGCCTCACTGTTTGAATCCATTTCTAACACCACAGGTTAGATAGGGCTTTACTATTGTGTAATGCAATTTCTGAAGCTAAAAGTGAGATTTCTTTACCAAAAATCGAGACTTGACTCTTATAAGTCATGTTCTTGTGAAGTAAATTGACATGAACTTTCTTCCCAGGACTGCAAGTCCATTCTTTGAGATATTGGTTTTGGTAGACCCCTACATCTGTGCTGTTATATTCTGATGGCCACCATCCAGGGAGGATGAAAGCAAGCCATGTTGATGCATCACTCCTTATCGATTGGGAGAGAGGAACTAAGTCATCCTTCAGCCCAGCGACATGTCCAGTAGGGCTATCATCAACTTCCAGTATTGGATCACAGGGAATCAAATTTGAATCCAGGCAACATGACTTGGCCTTCTGATTGTGCCCCTCGGGAGCCCCTTAATTAAAACTTTGAACTGCTTTTTGGCTTCAGTACATGCAAATGCCAACTCTTCAGCTGTGAATTTGCCATTCAGAGAAACAACTGGATAACAAGCTGTGCTAACTTTTAGCAAAACTTTACTGTTTTTTTATTTAGCAAGAAGTGAACACAGTGACCCTGTTGTTGTTGCTCTGTGCCAAGTCAAAAAGGAGGCGGATCTGGGACTTGGATGAGTGTCGGGCCCTACCAGGCTGAGCTCCTGACCCGAAGGCTGCTTACTCTTTATGTTTCAAACAAACGACAAAAGAACCCTTTCTTCCTTGTAGACAATAGTCAACAAAGTCTGTGTTTTTGAAGCCAGCAATAGACAATAGCCTGGCAATAAAAGAGTGAGGGAAGATCAGAGAGCATAGGTTTTGATTCCCGGTGGCGAGAAAGGTGTTTGCGATTCTCTCTCAAAGCATGCAAGGCATAGTCCAACGTAGTAACTTTTGCTCTAGTCAATTTGATCTCCACATTTTGCCTTATTTTCATAGCACATGAAATCACTGTTGTCTCAGTTGGGTGCAGTAGAACACCTGCAACACTGTGCCAATCATTGGGAACCAAAATGTAATAGACTACCCCTTTCTTTTTTTTTCTCAGGGAGTGCCGGAACATCTGTGACTTTCAATCATAACGGAGATGCTCCGGGACGCTACGACTTGTTCCAGTACCAGATGAACAATAACAGCTCTCCGGGGTACAAAGTAATTGGGCAGTGGACAGAAACGCTCCAGCTCAATGTGAGTAATGCTGCATCCAGGAAGGAATTGAGTTATCAAAATTACTGTTGGTACCCACAAGCTATTATAGGGGTTATTCTATACGTAGACATTCTATGTTTGCACAGAAATACATTTCATTTCCCCCTGAAAAAAGAGAGGGGGAAAAACATCAATCAATACCAGTCATAAATAAGCAATGCAATCTTTATCTCCTGATGAGGCCCAACTCTAAATAATTCACTTTCATTATCTGTTATAGACTCCATATGGGATCTTTGCAGTCATTATCATACAGCTATTGGCCATCATGTTTTGGTTCAGCCAGACTGTAAAGATTTCAGGTTCTGTGGACGTAGCACTCGAACACGGTCATGCATGGAAGTCAAACATAATATTATTATGCGTTGATAACTGCGAGAGGCATTTTTAAACAGTCATACAGCGTCTTAGTAGCCAGAGCTCCGTGATACATAATGACCTCTTCCTGAACCTCAGACTCTGCATTAATATATATGTAGAAGCTCAGCCCTTAGGAGCTCATCTTATTATGCAGCATATGCATCAATTACATTACTACTACACTGACATGCATGTCCCAGTTCTGTTCTGCCTCATGTTATCGACCAGGCGTGCTTCCTTAGCGAGGCCAGGCAACCCCGTCGTTCCGTTGACAGAGGACATATGCGGGAAAGTGTTCACATTTGCTTTTTGCGCCAAGTACAAACAGCGTAAATCACCTTCAACACAGAGCATTGCAGTACATTTCAAACTGAATAAAATCATTTAGTTTGGGTTGTACAATCAAATTGACAGACGATGTGGTTGAATCTTCCATCAGCTTCAGATCAATCAAAGAACAGCTGTGGAAAATACTGTGATGTTCTCAAATCAAACCATCAATGCTAGCAAGATTGTACTGGTCACACCAGGATTGTGGAATATACCCTCTAGGTCTGCCTTTCATAATGAGTTTTGATCATATCATTGTGTCTCTTAAGCACTAGCAGCTAATCTGCTACATAATTAAGGTTGAGAGTAATGAGTTAGGCTAACACAATTAGCACATGTCGGCTTTAAGATATCTCCTCCCAGCGGAATTTCTCTTTAAGTCAACTGAAGTCAATGTTTCATCGTATGATCAACCACAAAACCATTCAGTTAGATTTACACTGGCTTACTTTAGCAGGGTAGTCTGTAATATCCTCAGAAAGCACTAGCCAATACTGGTTATTTTGAAGTGCTGGTGCTCTGCTAAGCTGTGTTCATTAAGATGCAAAGATGGTGTGTAACAGTGAGCAGGAATTGCATGAATTGAATTTGGAAGTATTTCATCACACGGAATTTGCACTGAGGTGTGTTAGTCCCCTGCGTGCAAGAAATGAAGAAATATGCATGACACAACTTCAGAGAAAGACTTCAAAGACAACAATATTAAGTGTGTGGTGTGTGGACTAGTTGATATGGCAAAAAACTCAAAACTATATATATATTATATGTTCAAATACAGCTCTCTCTTAATGAATTTTCATAAATCATGTTTTTATGTGCATTCCTTGTATAAATGCAAATATAGCAGCCCATTAATTAACTGTTGATTTTCTAAGTGTTATAAAGTTAACACATCCTCTACTCTGCACATTTTAATGCACGCTTACGGTTTATTTGATGAATTTTACACACACTTTCTAAGCCACTTATCCTTCTGGGTCGCGGGAGGTGCTAGAGCCCCAGCATCCCACCGTGGACAGGTTGCCAGGCTATTGCAGGGCAGACCGACAGACATATACGTTCACACACACTCACATCTAAGGGCAATTTAGCCTGTCCAGTTGTCCTGACTGCATGTCTTTGGACTGTGGGAGGAAACCGATGAAGACATAATAATAATAAAAACATATAATGTGACCTATAATGTGGGCACATTTTGCAGTTTTTTTGTATTTTTATAATTTTTCTCTGCTTGTTAAACTCACTAAATTTGTGCACTAAATGTGCAGAAAATATGTTATATGTAAGTGTGTCCCCTATAGAGGATGTGTTGGCTTATTTTCTCTGAGAAACTTATTTCCTCTGTTGAATTCCCTATACAGACTGCCCCTCTGTACAACAAATTGATATCACCCATTATGTTATCTCATAATATGTTATTATCGTGTAGCAATATGTTGAGCTTTTGCGTCATCCTGAAAGAGGTTATTAGCAACTGTTTGTCAGTGTTCTCTTGTTGTGATAGGTGACATTTTACTGTACACTCTCAGGAATAAAGGTGTGCCAAACTGGAACAGAAGCCCTTTTGTCGCTGGGGTGGTACCCTCAATGGTACATCTCAGTACCTTTAGTCAAGGAACATAATTGTACCATAATCCATTGAAATTATATTTTCTAAGTTGTATTGACTCCACACACCCTGTCTCGTCTCCAGGCTTTTTATTTTATTGTTCTGTTTTAAAACATTAGGTTATGAAAAGATACAAATATGTACTTTTCACCTGGGAAAACCTTATTTAAGGTACACAGTTGGACCCTAAGACCACTGTTGTGCCTTTGAAGGTACATTTACATTTTTTGCACCTTGATGAATGAAATGTACCTGCACAGAACCTTTATTTCTAACAGTGTAGGATACATTTCAAAGGCTACATGACGCCTACCATTTGTCATGACGACTGACAGAACCCTACGTAAATGTTTATAAGCGCTTATTTTAATAGGAGTCATCTGTCATAAAGGCTACTTTGGCTAACTTTGATCAAAATTGGCCAATGTAACTTTTATAGTGAATGACACCTATTTCAATAAGCATTTATGTAGGGTTACATCAGTTGTAATGACAAGCTAATGTAGGTGTCATATAGCCTAATAAACAGTATCCTACAGTAAAGAATTATATGTACTCTATATATTGCTGGTAATCCTGAGAAATCTTTGTTCCTTTTTTGTGGAAAGTCAGAGAATAATGGCATTTCATATTAGGAATGAGCTTCCATGCATGGATGTGTATTATTTGTTAGGAGCTGGTCCTTCCCTAGGCATTGGCGGCATCATAAATGGATTCGGCTTGCTTTGTGGGAATCCTTGTTCAGGCAGTGTAAGGAAAAAAAGTGAGAGAGAGAGAAAGTGAGAGATGGAGAGAGAGAATTCCACTGTGGTGTGATTCACGTCTCCTGGACGCATTGAGTCACAGATGAGGAGTCCGGTACAGTCATCTCCAAGGATCGCCCCCGGCTCCCGCAGCAAATGTCATTTGCACATCACGCACCCTCTTTTCCCCCCACGGAGTGAGTCTGTGAAACGGCAAGAGGGTTCAGCTAACAGTCCTGCGAGGCTCAAATGTGCACGGATGTCGGCGTTTGCATTTTTATGAACGCCGGAAAGTCGAACCAGTCCGGGAGTTTCTCTCCTCTGTCGCAGAATGTGTCAAGCGAAAATTTCCCTTCACTTTTTCCGAGCCCAGATAGCCACAGAAGGTCACATTGCAATAAGCCGTGCCTGGAGCGGTGGTGTTGAGGGTGGGGGGAGTGGGAAAAATAGACCTCTACCGGCTTCTCCCAGCACACTGGAAGGAAACGGTGGCACGGTTTGTCGGGTTGATCCTGTTTGCTTACTGGGCTCGCGATAAAAGCTACAGCTAAAGCCCGTTCCCAGAAAAGGAACGCAGTGAATCATGGTTAGGTGGGTGATTATGGAATTCATCAGGATGCATCGGTGGCAGCTGTGGATGCACAAGGAGCTCTCATGTGTTTCACGCTTGCTGCAGAAGCATTAATAATTAACTGGGTTATGCAACTGCGATTTTTTTTTTTTCTGAGGTTTTTGCATTTTCTTAAAAAGCTTTGAAATCTTAAAATGAGAGACAGAGAGGGAAGTTTTTTGGGTGTGTTCTGGCAGTGCTAAAACAGCTGCCTCATCCCCCTGTGGAATAATCTTGATCTTAAAATTTCAGCCTTCACATAACTTCTTGATAACCAAGCAGGGATTTAATGAAAACTCCTCTTTCAGTGCTTTTTCTCATGTGCCAGGTTATACAGTGAAATGTAGCAGATGAAATAGGGCAGGATCCTTTATGTGGGTTGTGGAATGACTGCCCCAGTGCTTATGAGTCAAATACCAGGCTCGTGAGAAGTCAGATGGAAACCTATGGAGACATGACCTTTGAGTAACAACCATGTCTTTATCATCATGAGATCATAAATCATGAGATCATATATTTACACTCTTGTAAAAGGGCTCCTAAAAGGAGTCTTGATCCACCTTGGGGCTTGTGATGTTTTCGAATAATTCTGTAGGGTCCACTGCTTTATAAGGAGCCATGCAATGAGGCCAGGACAATAAAACCCAGGTTCAGGGGCAGATTGGAACAGTTGTACGTAAGTTCAAATGTAGATTAGTTACAATATAAGCTAATTCACTCAGCTGAGGTTCACACATTTCTAAATCAGAATGGGTTGCACCACACAAACCAGTGGCATTATTTGTGCCTTTACAATGAGGAATAAGGAATAAGAATTTGTGAGATTTACATGCCCTTTTTTAGTTGCAAATCACCTCATGGACCAGGCTATAAGTCACATGTAAAAAGCTGACGATTCTCCACAAGAAAGATCTTTGTAGCATGCCTGTCGCTTAAGTGTGCATCATTGAAAGGGAGGAAACTGCCCACGCCAGGATCTCATTAATGCATGTATGTTTTCAGTCACAAATTGTGTGAATATGAAGTAAAAGGCTTAACGATCCTCGATACATTACCTTATTATTTAAGAACTATGTCTAAGGTGATCAACAGCTAATATGCAAACAGGGTTCCACTATGATATTCAGCACAATGCATGCGCTATGTGTCCAAAGGTTTGTAGACATCAGTTCATCCATCATTTCTTCTAGAGGGTATTAATTGGGAAGGCTTTGGAACATTGCCGTGATGACTTGATTGCATCCATCCACAAGAAAATTAGTGAGATCGCCTACGTATGTTGAGTGATTAGGTCTAGGTCAAGCCAACTCATTCCAAAGGTATTGGA